GTGTGTGTGTGTGTGTGTGTGTGTGTACCCAGAGATCCAGTCCTGTGCAGGCTCAGGTAGGCTCTGTCTCTTTCCAGCCCCCCACCTGGTTCTCTGCGCAGGGCGGTGCGGCCCAGATGACCAGCGTACTGACGCAGGAAGGAGGGAGCACTATGGGAGGCAGGAGGGTGCATGGCACACACAACCATGGGCTCTGAGACACATGATGCAGACAGACAGCCGGGGACAAGAAGAAACACAAAAAAGAGAGTAGCAAAGAAGACAAGAAGGAGAAGAGAAAATTCCAAAGGAAAGCAGGTTGACAAAGTGAGAGGAGAGAGAGTTCAAAAACAAGGGGAAACAATCAATGAAAATTTGAAGAAAAGCAGAGGAGTGGACAGAAGTGTCAAAATAAAGAGGCAGATGACAGGAATCATAGGAGGGAACAGGAGGAAAAGAGAAAGAGGAAAAGAGACGACACAAGGTCATACACAGAGTAGACACAGAGAGGCAGCAGAACATGTAGGAACAGTACAATATGTAGTGCTGCGATAAAAGGGTGGGAATGCATACAGCTGCGGTACTCATGTTCGAGGGGGGAACAGTCGTGGCACATAGAAAAACATGTAACCATGGAACGTATATAATGCATGTGACGTGCATTGTGGAAAATGTGTTGAGTCATAGGCTGATCAAGAGAACAGAGAGTTAAAAAAAGAAAGAGGCATGCACGTGAAAAACTAGCAGACAAACTGTAGGAAACCAGGGAGATAAGGGCGAAACCAAATCACTGACGGAGGGACTGGAAAATATATCTAGCAAACTGAATCGAAGTCTGTGGGTCATATGTTGAGCTTGCGGACAAATAAAAGGATTTTCAAAGCTAAATAACCTCACAAACCCTGTCAGGACGCATACATCAACTTTCCTTCACCTCTCTCAAGCATTGCTTTCAAGCAAGGTTGGAAGCCCACATGTCACATCTCCTATCTTTCATAATAATCCCCAATTTCCTGCACATTGCACTGTAAATTCCACTGTGATCCCAGAGCATTAGAGTTTAATGTTCCCCTAAAATCCTCACACAATTCCCTCCCGGTTTATCGCCTCCAGTAACACCCATCTAAGTCCTCCAAGAAAAGGAATCTGATCTGAGGCCAGTAGCAGCCTCAACATGGTTTCTAATTAGCACTTTGAAAAATGTGAGGATTTTTTTTCTTCCCACCGCTATTTTGCACCGTCTGAGTGAGATGTCTAGAGATGGGGGGGTCGAGAGGGTGATACAGTGAGGGAAAAGGTCAACACAGGATGATAAGTACAAGATGTATAGCTGTGGTTAAAGTTTAATGTCCCTCGCCTCATCTCCTACATCACTTCCTCCATCCCACTCCCATCCCTCGCCTCTTCCTTTCTCATCGCGCTCTCTGGAAATGTACTCACTCAGCTCGAGCTGTTAAATACGAAGAGATGGAAGCAAAAATAGGAGGGAGAGAGAGAGGAGTGATGGCAGGGAATGAAATTAATCAGTTGGATATAGATGTTGCAGCCCAGGAGCTGGAATGACAGCAACACCAAACAAACATTATCGCTGCTTGTACCCAAACTCCGAGCCAATACATCTAGCCTAAAACACACACAGCTTATTTCAACACTGAAACGTGTCTGGCTCCTGATTTTGTCTTTTCTCTTTGACAAGAAACACACGGCAACCTCCCTCGCTCTATGCTCTCATCTGGTTTCTGGCTGAGAGCAAGATAAAGACGCGAACACGCACAAAGATGGATGATCATGTTTGTATGTCAGGTGAGGACTCTGCAGACCTGCAGTCCTGGAAGTTGCCCACCAGATGGCAACCAGAGTTTCTGAGAATGACACTGCTTTTTGCATGTTCTTCTCCGAGATGAAACATTTTCCTAAACTCGTGAAAACACAAATTCACAACAAACGTTTGTGTGTTCACATACATTTCCAGTGTGCTACTCCTGTCAGTGTGATGAAGTGAAGTGAACAGTGAAGTGATGGTGACAGAGCTGATGATGAGGTGAGGATGATGAAGGTTAACGTGACTCCAGTGAGTGGAAAACCTCAGGTGAAGCATTGCGTTAGTGTGTGTTGTTTTGTGTCTTCATGAGAGCTTCACATTTTCCTGAATGTTGACGCACAAACATTTTTGATACATGTGTCTCATTTCAGTGGCTGCATCCTTTGGGGGCTGCATTTGAAAACCGATTGCGTCACAGTGGCACAACTACACTGTCCCGATTTCTAAGTTTCCTTCAAATGCTGCAAACAAATGTGTTCTTCCACCCCTGAGCAACGAAGGCCTCACCAGAGGGATCCTTCCCTGCACAACCTATCCCATAATCAATTCCACTTCAGTGACTAATGGTTTTACAAAGAGGTAATAGCGGCAGCAAGTGAGAAAAAAACATTGGAAAATGGAATGTGATAAATGTAACCAAACAGCTAATGGTACACATTTTAAAAAAAAAAAACACCTTTTCAGCATTTTTAATCAACAGAAAACCTTTTTCATCCATAGTTCTGTTGCTAGAAACAACTTACCAACCCTATCTTTAAGAACCAAGTTATCCTATTTCTATGGAGTTAATGCACATGGTGCATACATATTATATACCTGTGTATACCTGCGTGGTAGCGTATACGAGTTTAAGTGTCTCACCATTGTCCCTGGCTGTGGTCGGCTCGTCCAAGGCCATCTGTTCTGCCAATTCGGACAGTGAGTCGTCGACGGGCCGAGCGCTGCGGAGAGACATGGACAGCCTCCGCTTGATAATCTTCATCCGGTCCATCTTCTCGACCACACCACCGGGGCCCACAGGCTGAGGAGGAACACAACAACCAAACAACATCATCATTATTATCATCGTCGTCACCGGCACCACCTGCATCCCCATCATCACAGTAATGGACATTGTTCTCATTATAACCATCAACGGATCCACGCTGCCCTGTTTAATCTTCATTGTACAGTCAAACTACCGCAGTGCAGCCTCGGCGCATTTTCTGCAGTTCTTTGGGCACCCCGACGATTGTGTTTGCTCACACAGCGTGTTCTCATTGTTATGTATCCCAAGTGCAAACATTGCAGAATAAAAGAAACTAAATGAGAGAGCGAGACGGGCCCAGAGAGACAGAGAAAGAGAAAAACATGGAAAAAATGGTCTGGAAAAAGATGACGTGAATGGCTGACTGTGACGCTCCGCAGAGAGTTGAGGCAACAGCAGATGAGATGTGATTGGCCAGATTTCGTTCCATCAGCTGTCCATAATGATGTATGTCAACATCGAACGCATTCGAATGCAAAAAAACGACGGATCAAACAAGAATAAAGTTCTTCATTTTCAGTGGCTGATTCTTCTGTAGTCCTATGACAACGACAATACGGCATGAGAAGCTGGTTTGAAATACTCTGCAGCATAGAAGTGGTTACAGAAGAGAGAGAGACGTCCCATCCTTAAAATAAATGGGGGGAAGAGTGCATATTATTTTTCCAGCAAAGTGCTCTTTATATTCAATGGCGACCCAACTATGTGTTGTTTAGTCAGCAAGCTTTCAACGTTACATATCTGCCCTGCAGAAGCCATTTAAAATATGGTTTTATATACATTACGGGTGTGTTTGCATAAGTGTGTGTTGACGCCACTTTGTACGTCAAGTTCCTTCTTTACTGGCCTGGAGGTAGAGGCAGCAAGGGCAGAGTATTTCTGTCTCCTCTCCACTTCCTGCTCTTTCCATCTAACTCATAAGGGCTCTGGAGCTGACGTGCACAAGTCCGTACACAGACATACACTGACGCACAAACACACATGGCACCCCCTGCCTTTCTCTTTGTGTCCAACCTTGGAGGCTTCAACAAAAGCCATTCATCCTTTCAGGCTCTCAGTCTTTCAGGCCTATTAGAGACAGCCAGTGCTCTGAGGGAATCAAACCCCAGCGATCCTCATTCAGGACGACTGGCTTTATTTCACCAGAGGATGCGTTTCGGCGAGTATCCATTGCTATCCCTCGAAATGAAAAAACAAAAAAAGTTTGAGAAGGAAAGGACAGAGTGAAAGGACAGCATCTCATGCATTAATTTTATATCACCAGACACCTCTGGATTATCACTATGGAACGAATCTACCTCCCCCCTCATTTGCATGTTTTCACGTTTTTCACTTGAGAAGCAAAAGGTGTGGACGAGAAGATTGGATTCTCCTCGTGCATCCTCGTCCTCCGCAAATGACTCATGTTATGTGGGAACAGTCGATAATACAATGCACACTTAATAACCCAGATAAATGTTATCATTAACACACACTTAAGCTTCCACCATTGCACACACACACACACACACACACACACACACACACACACACACACACACACACACACACACTAATGACTAATTTCACAGTCGTCATCTTATCTCTGTTGCATTAGCCCACACCATAATGCAGTGAGAAACACATTACCCAGCAGGCCATCGAGGGAAACGCTTCAGGGTACCACTGTATGTTGACTAAGTAATTGAGATCCTATTTTATTTATACAAATGAAATACGGTGTAATCTTTCCTGTATGCTAGAGAAAAAGAGGCCCCATATACATTTTATAGAAAGAACGTTAACTAATAATTTTCTACTTCTTCCAGATTTGTATGTCACTGCTTCACGAGTAGCTGCATGCAAATAAACTAAACTAGGCTGCTTTTAGATACAATGCCTAATGTAAAACACTTCCAGAGAGTTTCAGAAGAGTAACTGTGGCCTGGTGCTGATCACGTGGCAATGTGAAGAGGTTGGTGGAGGCACATAAGTGAGTGGGACTGGACATGTGGCTCCAGGCTGCAGGCTACACTCACCAGACACCCAGAAAACCATGAACACCTCTGATACATAGCTCCCACTCGACAGAGGGACTCCAGATGATGTAGGACGCTCTTACCCACAAGACACCACAAGCTCCCCCACTGTTTTGGTTGTGCTTAAAGAACTATACTGCACGCTTGATTAGTTCACTATAGAGGGTTAATAGGCGAGTGAAGAAATTACACCTCCTCCAACATTGCATAAAGTTATATGTGTGTCTGTGTCGCACATCTGTTTCCACATGTGTATGTCTGGGTGGTTGCATGGATGTGGTAGCATGGAGGTGAGGCTAAGGGACACACCCCCCGAGGAGGTCAGAGGATGACCACAGTCGGAATTTATTCAAGACACACACCATTTGGGTTGCTAGGTTACAGAACAAGGCTGGAACCGCAGCTTCTGTCTCTGATGGCAAAATATATATATATATATTTTATAAAGGAAACAGAGCCGAGAACAGCCGAAAAGCTGAGAATGATCATTTCTCTGTCTCCCCTCTCTATCCCCAATCCCACCCCCCATCCCCCATGCAAACACACACACACACACACACACACACACACATTCTTTAAATTGTAAAAACTTCCAGCCCTCCAGTGTTGGGATGCCACACAGCACTGCAGCATGCGATCCTTGCCAGCTCAGCTCTGGGATTCCTCTGCCTCTTCTTAGCCTCTCGGGGGTTTGAGAAAGAATCGACTGAAGGACCTGAGTCTGCAGTATTTTAGAAGAGCAGAAGTTTTTGACGGCTTGTGTGAACGAGGGATTATTTTAGTTTTAACCAGATATTGTTTTGCCCCTTTGCTTTTCATCACAAATAAAGAATGTAATTCAGTGGCACCTGAATCACACGCATGCATGCACACACATACAATGTGGCAGAGCGGAGCAGGCACTCAATGGCACTCAGTACGCTGCTTGGCACAGTGGCCTGAGGATGAATGAGTAATGCACAAATCTGCCCAACTACAGAATCCTACACATGTCCACAGAGATAGACCAACAGATAACCCCAAAAGAAGCATCTTGTCTGTTACTTAAACTGAATCTCTAGAGTAAAATATGGATTTATTCATATTAATTGAACAAGTTACCAAAAGAAGCATGAAAACAAAATCACAAAAAGACCTGAAATGCATCTAAAAATGTGTGGGTAGAGTGACTAAGGCTGTATATGATTTTAGGGAGAACTGATTGATGAAGTGCGGAAATATTCTTTAACTTTAACTATTCTAAAACTTCAGTTGGGGCTGAATCATGTTGTCAATATGAAGATACAGGACAAGGATGCAATATATGTATGCTAATTGCTTTGTAGAATCTAATTATATGAATAAAAA